AGAATTCCCCAGCCAACCATGCTGGCTGGGGGATTCTTGGGGGTGAAGTCCAATCATTTTAAAGTGGGCAAGTTTTGACAGCACTGATGTAAACAATCTACACATCCCAGTCTATTTTTTTGCAACCTTCATACTTAACACATATGGGTTGGAATACAAGAGGAGACGATGACAAAAACGGAACATTAAAAGCTCTTTGTTTGAGCACGTAGCGTCACAAATGTATTTTATTAAGATCAGGAGAGAGCTAGTTTGGGGTGGTGGTTATGGCACGAGGCTAGAAACTGGGAGACCGGGAGTTCTAGTCCCATCTTAGGCACAAAGCCAGCTGGGTGACCTTGGGTCAGTCCCTCCCTCTCAGCCCTAGGAAGGAGGCAATGGCAACCCACTTCTGAAATCTTGCCAAGAAAACTGTAGGGACTTGTCCAGGCAGTCGCCAGGAGTCAACACGGACTCAAAGACACAAAAATAATAAAATAAAATAAAGGAACAAGTGACATTGATGAATGTGAAGACTTCTTCATCTTGTTTGAAGAAGTCATCTCATGAATGTCTTATAAGAAACTTCTTTCTTTTACCTTTATGCAAAACCAAACGGAAATAGGAAAAGTGATGACCACTAGTATGAACGAAACTACAACTAGGATCCAGCCACATATCCCAAGGCTTTTGGAAGAACCATCTACAAGAAAAGAAAAAGAGAATCAGAGGGATAAATACATTTGGAAGTGAACGATAAATCCTATCTGCCCTATGTAGTGATTTTCAAAACTTTGTCAGAAATTAACAGAATTAGCTTTCGGTCTCAAGTAATATGTAGAGATTTCTGTTTGCAGAACTGAAATGTGATTTTTGTTGAACTCAGTGAAACCTGCTTTCAAGAAGATATATGGAATTGCATTATCAATCTCTACTACTAGTCATAGTAGTACACAGGACGTTTTCATGATCATAATATTTCTTTTATCACTTACTCCTTTCCAGAATGAAAAACAAGCAGAAAAAAATAGCAACTTTTGATCAGAAAAGGAAAGAAGGAAGTGTCGTTCTGGGGGACATGGACCCTGAATTCAGACTCAGGAATGTTCTCAGAGAAAGTTCAAGAGTCATGGCTGTGAACTTTCAAAATCTTGGAATTAAGTATATGTGGGAAAGAGAAAAAAGAAACAAAAAAGCAGGAAGGAAAATGTCATCTGGCCACTGGCAGATGCACTCTCCCATGATAATTCATTCTCTCTGGCATCACTCATGAAAAGAGCTTTGTCTGCAACATCCCCAAGAAGCCTACAGAGATGAGAGGAATTGAAATAACCAAGCTCCAAGCAAATCAGCCCACTTTTGAAAAGCCTCTGCTTAATCATGGCTTAATCTTACTTCCTATTAGTTAGTTCAACACTAGTGAGTACCCTTTATTGGATCCGTTCAAGCAAAGGCTGGACACCCATCTCTCTCGGATGTTTTAATTGGCATTCCTGCAATAGGAAGAGGGTTGGATTCAATGCTTCCAACTGTAGGCTTCTAGGATGATTTGTTTTCCTGCATGGTGAGTCAACATTACACCTGACATCATGGTTAAGGACAGATCATAAACCAGGATATAAAAACACAGTGGATGAAAAAGCTATGGTCAAGGGAAAATATAACCAAAACCTTCTGCTCTTCAAGCTGAGGGAGGATGCCTGCAGGAAGATGCTACTCAAGCTAGCTTTTAGGATTAAGTTTTGGAATGTAATCAAAGCAAGTTGTTACAGCCCATTTGTTTCAGGTCTAAGAGGGGAGCATGAGAATGCCATGAATTAATCTAGCATTCAATAGGATCGTATTTTACCGGGTGTGGTTATAGAAGCAACATGTTTCAGGAGTGATAAAGGCAGCCATCATCACGCAGACACCGCATTTTATTAACTGTTTGTGCTGGCCAGATAGACTAAGGCTGTTTGTGGAAAAATGCTTAGCAAAGCCTCAGATGTAAATGGAACGTGTTTATTGGCAAGATGGTGCTTTTTGTACATGCTCAAATGGACAGTCGTTCAAATATTTATCATACTAAGAAGGACTTGACCTGGGGTTGTGACAACACACAGATGTGCACACCCTCATCACCATGAAGTCAAGATAGATCAGCAGTTGAACCAACCAGAAAGGAATGATCCTCTACTCCTTTTCAACTGCCTGAACTCTCTGCCCTGTTTCTCAACAGCAACTTTGGGCTTGCCAAGGCCAGCTAACTTAGCACTGGCTGAAAGTCCAAAGTCTTCAACTCATAGGCTGGTGCTGGACCTAGAAATACATATCCAAGGCTGTGATGCAAGAGGAGACCTCCAATCAAAGAATGGCATAGTGGAAGGAAGATGCGCTCTTGTGGATATACTCCCCAAGGGCACAAATCTCTTCCCCAACCCAAGATTCAGATATTGGGGAAGAGATGCGGGACAAAGATATAGGGACAAAGACCCAGAGCCCTGGAATCTCCCTTTGTGATTCTTGTGATCCATCCAAAAATGCTGGGGGGACCAAGCTGGCTTAACTCTG